GGGCGCCGGATTCTGTCCCAGTTGCCCCTCTTCCAGGCCAGCTCTCTGCTGTGGCCAGGGAGTGCAGTGGAGGATGGCCCAGGTGCTTGGGCCCTACAACCCATGGGAGACCAGGAAAAGCACCTGGCTCCTGGCTCCTGCCATCGGATCAGCGCGGTGCGCCGGCCGCAGCGTGCCAGCCATGGCGGCCATTGGAGGGTGAACCAACGGCAAAGGAAGACCTTCCTCTCTGTCTCTCTCTCTCACTGTCCACTCTGCATGTCAAAATAAAAAATAAAAAAAAAATGTAAAAGCTTACAAAACTGGATATAAATGGGCAGGCATTGTGGGATAGTGGGTAAAGCCACTGCCTGCAATGCCGGCTTCCCATATGGACACAGGTTCAAAATGAGGCTGCTCCACTTTTGATCCAGCTCCCTGCTCCACACCTGGGAAAGCTGTGGAAGATGATCTAAGTTCTTGGGCCCCTGCATCCATGTGTGAGACCAGCTGCAGCTCCTGGCTCCTGGCTTCAGCCTGTCCCAGCTCAGGCTATGCCACAATCTGGGGAGTGAACCAATGAATGGAAGAGTGCTCTCTCTCTCTCTCTCTTTCTCTCCTCTCTCTCTGTAACTCTGATTTTCAAATAAATAAATCTTAAAAATAATAAAAATGTAGGTGGCAGGGGTTTGGCATAGCCGTTCAGATACCTCTTGGGACACCCACACCCCAACTCAGAGTATCTGATTTGAGTCTAGACTCCTCTGCTTTCGGTCCTAATGCATACCCTAGGAGGTAGGCAAGTAGCTCAAGGAGCTGGGATCGGCGTCGTGGCGCTGTGAGTTAAGCTGCTGCCTGTGACGCCAGCATCCCATATGGGTGCTGATTCAAGCCGGGCTACTCTGCTTCTGGTCCAGCTCCCTGCTGATGCTCCTAGGAAAGCAGCAGCAGATGTCCCAGGTGTTTGGGTCCCTGCCACCCATGTGGGAGACCTGGATGGAGTCCCTGGCTCCTGGCTTCAGACTGGCCCAGCTATGGCGATTGCAGCCATTTGGGGAGTGAATCTTTAAAATTAATAAATATATTTTTTCAAAAAATGGTTCAAGTGGTTGTGTCCCTGCCACCCACATTGGGAGGCCTGGAATCCTGGCTTTCTGGGTTCCCAGCTTCGGTGTGGGCTAGCCTTGGCTTTTGTGGGTATTTTGGGAGTGAATCAGTGCTTGGGAGATCTCTCCCTATCTATTTGTCTGTCTTTCTTTTTTTTAATGTGGTTAGACTATATCACAGCTAAACAAGATTTATTTATTCATTTGAAAATCAGAGAGGCAGAGGCAGAGAGGCCTTCCACCTGCTAGTTCATTCCCCAAATGGCTGCAATAGCTTGAGCTGAGCCAATCCAAACTCAGGAGGCAGGAGCTTCTTCCAGGTCTCCCACGTGGATACAGGGGCCCAAGGACTTGGGCCATCTTCTACTGCTTTCCCAGGCCATAGCAGAGAGCTGGATTGGAAGTAGAGCAGACGGGACTTGAACCGGTGCCCATTTAGGATGCTGGCACTGCAGGCAGTGGCTTTGCACTACGCCACTGCGCCGGCCCCTCCTCTGTCTTTCAAAACACTCAAAGTGGTGCCCATATGGGATGCCGGCACTTCAGGCCAGTGCTTTAATCCACTGCACCACCGCGCCGGCCCCACAAAATAAATTTTTAAAGACAGTACTGTGGGTGATCCTGTGCCTGGCTGGGAGACTGCCTGCCTAACCCATGCAGGAGGTTAACAGGACATGGCACACCATGCCTCCCAGGAAAGACCCTGGTCAGGGGCTCAGCACACTGAGAGCCACATATGACCTGGCAGGTGGCAGGGACCCCAGGTGTATTTCCATCACCCCCACTTCCTGTTGAAGGGCATTATAATTGTCAACCAAATAAACAGCTCCGGCGTGTGGCGCAGACCCATAAGAACTACCTGGAAGGCTATGTAGGCTCCATGACCTTCAAGCTGATTGGAGAAGCATACGGGCGCCAGTATTGGCTTTATCCTATAGAATTAGTGTTGCCCTGAACCAGCTACTCCCTTCTTTGCCTGCCCTTTAAAAGCCTGTGCCTGATTGTTAATAAATGGACATGTTCACCGAAACTGTCTCTGGTGCTTCTTGTCGAAGAATGCTGTCACCCCATCATCCTGACAGTGTGGGCCTCGTAGGACAAGCCCACACAATACATGCTTGTATCAACAGAAGTGGAGGTACACTTCTGTACAAATATGGACGTTAACAGTGGACAAAGGCCCTCCAGCCCCCGTTGTGTCTTTGTTTCTACTGGCCTTTGTGCTCCCTTGCACAGTCTGTCTTTACACACCACGTGTGCATAGCTAGTAGAATGGAGGACGTACTGAAAGGGTTTTCCCTAAGGAAGCTGTCAACCATGTTGGGGAGAATCTGGGTTTCAGGCTTGACTCTGTTCCTTGGCTCCAGACTTTGGAAAAATCTAGACTCCCCTTGAACCTCAGGCTATACATCTCTAAAATAAGGATCACCGTGGGGCGGTGTTGTGACACAGCAGGTTAAGCTGCCACTTGCAATGCCAGCAATCCCATATGAGTGCAAGTTCGAATCTCAGCTGCTCCACTTCCAATCCAGTTCCCTGTTAATGCACCTGGGAAAGAAGTGGAAGATGGCATAAAGGCTTGGGCCCCTGCCACCGTGTGGGATACTTCCAGGCTCCTGGCTTTGCCTGGCCCAGTCATGGCCACTGTCACCATTTGGGAATAGAACTAGTAGATGGAAAATCACTCTGTCTCTCTGCCGTTCAAATAAAGCAAATATCTCTTTTTAAGAAAATAAATCTTGGGGCTGGCGCTGTAGTGTAGTAGGCTAGACCTCTGCTTGCAGTGCCAGCATCCCATATGGGCATCCGTTCATGTCCTGGTTGCTCCTCTTCCAATCTAGCTCTTTTCTGATGGCCTGAGAAAGCAGAAGAAGATGGCCCAAGTCCTTGGGCCCCTGCACCCATGTGGGATACCCAGAAGAAGCTCCTGGCTCCTGGCTTCGGATTGGCCCAGCTCTATCCATTGTGGCCATCTGGGAAGTGAACCAGCAGTTGGAAGACCTTTCTCTATGTCTGTCCCTCTCTCTGTCTGTAACTCTGCCTCTCAAATAAATAATTAAAAAATCTTTAAAAAAAAACACAATAATTTATTTGAGAGGTATAAACAGAAAGAGAGAGAGACTGAGAGCTCCTATCCACTGCTTCAATCCCTAAATGCCCATAAGGGCTGGGCTGGGCCCAGGCCAAAGTCAGGAGCCAGGAACTCCATCCAGGTCTCCCATGTGTGTAGCAGGAACCCAATTTCTTGGGTCTACATCAGCAGGAAGCTGGAGTCAGGAGCCTGAGCTGGGCACTGAACCCGAGCACTCCAGTGTGGGATTGGCAGCCTATGTGGGTGCCGGTTCGAGTCCTGGATGCTCCACTTCTGATCCAGCTCTCTGCTATGGCCTGGGAAAGCAGAAAACAGTCCAAGTCCTTGAGCCCCTGCACCCTGTGGGAGGCCCAGAAGAAGTTCCTGGCTCCTGGCTTCGGATCGGCCCAGCTCCAGTCGTTACAGCCATCTGGGGAGTGAACCAGCGGATGAAATACCTCTCTCTCTCTCTCTCTCTCTCTCTCTGTAACTCCTTCAAATAAATAAAATAAATCTTTTTAAAAAAGATTTATTCTTTTATCTTTATGTTATTTATTTTGAGAGGCAGAGTTACAGAAAGAGAGGGAGAGACAGAAAGGTCTTCCTTTTCTTTTTTTTTAAAGATTTATTTTCTTTATTTGAAAGAGTTAGAGAGAGAGAGAGAGAGAGAGAGGTCTTCTATCTGCTGGTTCACTCCTCAAATGGTCACAACAGCTGGAGGTGGGCCAATCCAAAGCCAGGAGCTTCTTCCAGGTCTCCCATGTGGGTGCGGGGGCCCAAGGACATGGGTCATCTTCTGCTGCTTTCCCAGGCCATAGCAGAGGTCAGAAGCAGAGCAGCTGGGACTCAAACCAGCACCCATAGGGGATGCCGGCACTGCAGTCAGCAGCTTTACCTGCTATGCCATAGTGCTGGCCCCTCTTTCTTTGTTTTTAAAAAGGGAAGTAGAAAAAAATGCACCTGTAGTTCTGTCCCCCACTAAATGTCACTGAGGGGACAGACATGTGGCACAGTGACTGGGATGCTGCTGCTTGGGCCGCCCGCCTCCCATGTCAGAGGGCCTGTCTTTGAAGAGCAGCTCTGCCTCTGACCCCGCTCCCTGCCAGCGCAGACCCTGGAGAGCAGTGGACGAGGCTCCAATAGCTGGGTCCCTGCCACTTAATGGAAGACTCACATTGGGGTCCCAGCTTCTACGCTGACCCAGTCCCAGCTGCCAGGGGCACATGGGGGATGAGCCAACCGATGGGACAGCTCCATCTGTCTGTCGTCTGTCTGTCTGTCTGTCTTCCTCTCTGCCTTTAAACTGCCAAGATTTTAATGCAGGTCCTGAAATATTTCTTTTTTGCTTGCCTTCTTTTTTCCTAACAGAACTGAGGTCCCCACTGCTTTGCATGAAGTGGTAGCCGACCCCAAACAACAACTGGTGAGTTTTCATTCCTATCACCATCTCTCTCTTGTTACAAAGCCTCCTGCTGGACACCGGGGCAGTTCACTGGCAGGAAAGGTCAAAGGTACTCAGATAAGGACTGGCGGTCACACCGGAAAGAAGTGGGGGAGAGGAGGGAGCCTCCGCACCAGCTGAATGTCTGGATGTGTTTGTGAACATACATTCAGCTCACTTGGCTAGATGGACGAGCTGAAATCCGAGCTGACTTGAAACCAAGCCCAGTCCCTGATGCCTTTGATGTAGACTTTATCTGGTGGGCCCTGGGTTCTCTCCCCTGCTTTGCGGTTCTTTCTCTACTATGAAACCTACAAGTCAGCTCCTTACTAAAGATGAACTCACTACATTAAGGCTCCTACCAGACTCCAGATCACATGACTGAAGGCAACTATCACCCCTGCTGGGTGCCGCTCCCTTGCCCGCAAAGGAACGACACTGTTCGCAGCTTATCGGTCTTCAGCAGACTTTTAATGGGAAAATAACAGGGACAGAGAAAGAATGAAAGGAGGAGAGTGGACAGGAAAGCCCCCTCCTTCCTCAGCACACAGCGTATATACAAAATCTGGCCAATTGCAAGCGGGCTCAAGTCCATGCACGGAACACTCCAATCCGCTGTCTGTTCACGCAGTGTGCACGCATCCTCGGGCCAATCAGATGAGGTGTCACGCAGCAGGCAGGCTCACCACACGGTCCTTGGTGCCATCTTGTTGTTTACAACATTCTCAACTCCTCTGGAAAGTCCCGGCCGTGGGAAAGCATTGCCCTAACTGAAACTAGCAACATCCGCCTTGTGATAAAGACACAGCAACAGCTATCAGACCGACCTTGACGTGGGGGCTCCATGGCTGCACATCCCATGGAGCCCCACAGCTGGGAACGTCTTAGCACCAGTCTCCAAGTTGAGATGCTTCACAGGAACCCCAGGTTCTGGTTTAATCATCTACTCATAGACCGCTCACCCCACCCCCCAAGGCAGACTGGAGCCTGCTTTGCCATCACAACGTTCTCGGATGAGCGTGCCGGCCTCCTGTCACTGACCAACCAAAGGCAGGCCAGGAGCACGGTGCCTTAACCAGAGACCAGCGCACGGCTCAGCCCTGACTTTAATCTACAAGATTCACTGCGCTTAATCCCTGAGGAGTCCAGAGATTGAGCAACAGCCGCCTGGCTTCTTGCCCTGCACATTGCAAAATGAGCGCCTACTTTCTTCCGCCACCCACGTGTCAGTGATAGGCCTGCTGCAGGACAACACGTGGGCTAAGGATTTGAGGGGTTCTACAACAAACTGTTGGAAAAAAAATAGGCATGTGAGTGGCAGAGATCCAAGTGCTTGGGCCTCCCAGGATGCGTAGCAACAGGAGAAGTCATGGGGGAAGCAGAGGAGCCGGGACCCGATCCAGGCACACACCCCTATGGGATGCAGGTGTCCCGGGCGACATCTTAACCATCGTCCCAACTGCCTGAGCCAGGAAAGGGGGGGATTTTTAAAGGGTGTCCAACTAGGTTCCAAGGGAGTCACCTGTCTAGAGAGAGGCCTAAAATCGAGCTGGAGAGTGTCAAAGCCCCGGGCTGGAACCCAGGCCTGGGTGGCTCCTAAGGGCTCACCAGGAACCACTGTGGTTTTGCAGGAATTGGGGCTGGGAGTGAGGACATCAACTCCATCATACCGAAGGTGAGGTGGAGGATGACTTCCTGCGAATCCAAGTTCTGATTCACAGCAGGTTTGATTGATTGATTGATCTATCGATTGATTGGTGTGTGTGTGTGTGTGTGTGTGTGTGTGTCTCACCCTGGGTCTGGGATGGTCAGATGAGCCTGCTGGGGTTTCTAAGCCTTTCTGAGAAAACTCTGAGTTCCTGGGGCTCCTGGGGATTGGGGAAGCACCCCTATAGCGGGCCTGGCGGCTCAACCCCGCTGCCCGGGGTCAAGCGCTGGATCGCAGCACAGCTGCAGAGAAGGGCTGACCAGGCAATCGTGGGAACAATTTGCAGGCACATTACAATGGCAATGTGAGTGAGTGAGAGAGCGCTCCTCTGAGAGCAGCCAGGCCAGGGATGAGGCACTGGGAGCTGGCTGGAGGTTCACTCTGGTTCACTGGCCTGCTTCGTTGGGCCCACGCAATGCTTAGTGGACATTTTGGACGGGTCGTCAAACATGTGAAAATGGGAGCCGCATACCTAGACTCTCATGAAAAATCGGGAGACCTGAGAACACGAGGGCCCATTCCCAGCCCATTCCCACGGCTGGGCCGGACTCTGCCTTCCCCTCGGCTCACCCTGACCCCTGTCCAGGTCAGCGCCCTTGATGTGCAGATAAGGAAACTGAATTCCAGAGAGGGCGAGAGATTGACGTGGAGTCACTAAGACTGGAGGCTGCACCTGGGCCCCGAGTCCCAACTTCTTTCACAGCACAGTCCATGGACCAGAAGAGCAGGCATCCTTGGGTCTAATGGGCAGATGGAGAGCCTGCTCTAAGCCAGGGGCTGCAGGTGGAATTAAAAGGCAGCTCCCCCTGGGCTGGTGCCTCTGGGATCCGGTGGAACCTGCCACCCCCACTCCCTGGGGACACTAAGGTTCAGCAGGCTTTGGAAGTCACCTGGCAATAGAATATGGTTTTTTTCTCTTTTTTTCCCAAAGAAGTCCAGCTGCCAAAAAAGACAGACCCTGGGGCCTTTCTTCTCTCCACTCAGGATCTGCTGGGGCTTCCTTCCTGTAGGAAGCTTGCTCTGATTACCCTCGTTGGTGCAAGCATCCTTGATAGGACTCGTGGAATACCTGTGCTTATCTCCTCGCGGCAGCTCTCCTTTTAAAATTGTATTTGAAAGGCAGAACAACAGATCTGTGTGTGTGTGTGTATCTTTGCCATTCAAATACAATTTTAAAATATTTTCATCTAAGAGACAGAGATCTGCCATCTGCTGGTTCACTCCTGAAATAGCCAGGCTGAAACCAGGAGCTGGGAACTCCATCCGGGTCTCCCATGTGGGTGGCAGGAGCCCAAGCACCTGGGCCATCTTCTGCTGCCTTCCCAGGTGCATTAACAGGGAGCTGCATCGGAAGTGGAGCAGCCGGGACTAGAACCAGCGCTCCGATATCGGATGCTGGGGTCATAAGTGGTGGCTTTACTTGCTGCACCACAACACCAACCCTACAGCATTTTTTTAAAAGATTTATTTATTTGAAGGGCAGAGTGATAGACTGAGAGAGGGAGAGGGAGAGAAAGAGAGAGAGAGAGAGAGACATCTTCCATCTGCTGGTTCACTCCCCAAATACCCACAGCAGCCAGGTCTGGGCCAGGTCAAAGCCAGGAGCCCTGAACACCATCCAGGTTCTCCCATGTGGGTGGCAGAGGTTCAAGTACTTGGACCCGTTATCCACTGTCTCCCAAGGGTGCCCATCAGCAGGAAGCTGGATCAGAAGCTGAGTGGCCTCAACTCACTGTGCCACAATGACTGCGCCCCCTCCTCTCCGCGTTTAATCAGAACTGCAAATAACAACACCACCAGTCACAAAACTCCGTCACTGAAGCCTTTACAGCATGCGTCATACTCTCCTCATTAATCTTATCCGAACGCCTTAGGCTCCAGACCAATCAGGAAGATAGAAGGGGCTCAGACCCCGCCCCTCCCCGCCCCCTATCTGACAAGGAAACGCACGCTGTTCCTACTTTCTGTGCCCTGTTGGATTTGCAGAAACCAGCGAGAGGCCACGCCCCGAGGAGGGGGAGGGGCGGGCTCCGGCAGTCCAGTCTGCACAGGCGGGAGCTGGGCAGTCGACCCCAGCAGGACTGAAAGGGGCTTGGCGGCATTTCCGCAAGGGTGGTCCCTGGGATTTCAAGCTTCTGCTTGCATCTCCACCCACCCGTCTCCCTGGGCGGGGCCTCAGATCAATGACCGCAAGGCAGTTTGGACTCGAACCCTTGAGCGTGTGCTTACGCTACTCCATGGGACACCCACACTTGGCGTGGGTCCGAGTGCCTGGATCTGAGACCCTGCTCAACCCCTCCTTCCAGCTTTCTGCTAAAACAAATCCTGGGAGGCAGCAGGTGACGACGGCTCAAGTACTCGGCTCCCTGCCACCCACGTGGGAGACCTGGATTGAGTTCTGGGCTCCTAGATTCAGCCTGGCCCAGCCTCAGCTGTGGGAGATCTGTGCGTGCGTGCGTGCGCGTGTGTGTGTCTTTACGATTCAAATAAAGTTTTTAAAAATTTCACCACAGTTTTGGACTTTTGCTCTTTTAATTTTCCTCCATCCTCTAAAAATCTATTTACTTCCCACTGCCAGAAGAAACCTCCTTGGAAAAGCCTCCTTGGTTCCTTGAGCCGTCTTCCTCCACTCGTCTAAGGCATCAAATCAGACGATCACTCTCATGAGTCTGCTGTTTGATGTGCAGAGACGCTCATCTTAGCCCTGTCTGTAACAGCAAAGAAAAAGGACGCCGCCTAGAGGCCCAGCAACGGAGAACGGGTTACCTAATCAGCATCGAAACACGTCCAGCCACCCAGCCTGCAACCTGTGAAACTAATAGTTATTTAATACTTATTTTATTTGAGAGAGAGCAAGCCCCCATTTGGTTCACTCCCACAGGGGTCCTGGGCCTGGGGCTTAGGCCAGGAGCCAGAAACTCAATCCAGGACTTCCACATTGGTGGCCAGAGTTCACTTTACTTGGAGTTGTCGGCGATGCTTCCTAGGTCTCCATTGGCAGGAAGCTGAGGCAGGGCCAGAGCCAGGTTTGGGACTCACTCTGATGTGTGATGCAGGCATTTCAAACAGCACCTTTCTTTCCTTTTCAAAGATTTATTTATTTGAAAGGCAGAGAGAGAGAGAGAGAGAGAATCTTCCATCTACCAGTTCACTCTCCAAATGGCCACCAATAGCCAGAGCTGGGCCAGGCTGAAGCCAGGAGCCAGGAACTCTATCCAAGTCCCCCACATGGGTGTCAGGAGCCCAGGTACTTGGGCCATCAACTGCTGCCCTGTGGGGAGCCATTGCACGGCGCCCTAAAGATGGCGCCGGCTCCTTTCTCCCGGAAGGACTGGCGAGAAACAAACAACTCCTAATAAGGAGATGGCTGAGCTCCCTTCCGGCTTCCGCATTGCTGTACCTATCAATCCTTGCCACTTGGCTGCTTTTGATTGGTGTGCTGATGGCTATAAGAGGGATGGGAGAGGGAAGGAGGCGGAAGAAGAAGCTTGTTCAAGGTTCCTGAATAAACTGCTGGAAGAAGAGTTCGGGTCGTGTCTTCCTTGCTGGTCGAGGGACGCGACAACTGGTGGCCCGTACGGGGAACCATCTCAAACGCGAACTCAGAACTTCCTGCAGTCAGGGCAGCGCTGGTAAGTCCCCCAGGAAAATAAGGTGGGGATCCGCGATAAGAGCGGGAAGTCCTGCGACAATAGCGGGAGGATAGCTCTGCGATTAAAGCAGAGGAAGTTCTGCGACAAAAGCAGAAGGAGCTCTGACCCGTGGCCAGGGAAAGAGTACAATATTTGACGGTGGGTAATTCACAGTCCCATCCAATTTTTCTGGCGCTGAATGCGCTGCTTTGAGAAAACAGTTTGAAACTTAAGCCTAGTACATTGCATAGGTTTTTACGTAACTGCGATACCATTGCACCCTGGTATGTGGTTTCGGGAAGCCTTACTATCCCTTCATGGGACAAACTAGGCAGGGATTTGGATTTTGCATTTGAACAGGGTAATCTTGAAGGGGGAGTGAGACCAATATGGAAGTTAGTGCGAGCATGCCTTGAGGATGAGCAGTGTAGTGAAACTATTCTGAGCGGTCAAGCTGCCTTGGAGGAGCTTCAGGAAGAGCGCTCCGAGAGAGCTGCCAGTGAAAAAGGGAAAACTTTGAAGGAGAGTCAGAAAAGAACTAGGAAAAAACTGTACCCCGATCTTTCCGAGTTGCGCAGCCCCTCCTTAGTAAGTAGTACTAGTGCAGAAAGTAGCTCAGAAAGCAGCAGTGAGTCTGAAGAGTGTGGCGATAACAGAGTCTGGTATAAAGCAAGTACGGGAATTGAATCGGCAAATGAGGATTTCCAAGAATTACAGCTGCTGAGCCATTACCAGTTGTTGTCAGATTCCTTATATGTGGTGAACGCATTGAAGATATTGGAAACCGCAGGACCAATTAAACCTTCTAGCCCAATTGTATCCCTAATGTCAGGTGATTGCTCATTGTCTGGATGCATGGGCCGCCTGGGGGAGACCCCAGGTGCTAAAAACTGATAATGGCCTGGCCTATACATCTCAAACCTTTACCACCTTTTGCCAAAAAATGGAGGTTCAACTTGTCCATGGATTGCCGTACAATCCTCAGGGCCAGGGCATAATTGAGCGAGCACACCGCACACTGAAAGAATATCTTTTAAAACAAAAAGGGAGATGCAACAGGCCAGGAGAAAGAGAAAGGAAAAATTCCACAGGTATCTTGACCTAGAGAAAAGTCTTAATTCGATAACCCTTTCCAACTTGATGGGTTTTTCTCTTTACAGTTAATAAAAACTTAAGCAATGGGCTCATATGCTGATAATTCTTTTCTGTGCTGCTGTAGCTAACTTATCTAATGAGAGTTTTCATGTGTCTTGAAGGTTTCACATTTTTCTATTGCCAGTATGACTCTTGATTGGAAAAACTGCACCATGAAGCTGTTTACGTTATATCTTTAATGTTTGAGTGAGTACCTAACTCTGATTAGATCTAGTCCACAGCCTTGGTTAAACGTACTAATTTTTGACTAAAATGTTTTGACTCTGATAGTTTAAATTCTAAACCTAGTCTTTCAACTTTGGGGCTTCCAGTCGGATCCCTGGAACTCTCAAAGGATGGGACTCTAAATTTGTTAAAGTAACAGCTGTTTGAGTCAATTCAAATTATACAAAGTGTATTAAAATGTAGTAAATGATGTCAAATCTATGTTGTATTCATGTTTTTGCTTTTCAGCTAGAGTAGTCTTGTAAAAATGAGAGTAAATTCTGTGTATACAAGCCTTTCTGTTGTTAACTCAAGTAAGCCAATACAGATTGGTTCAGAAAGTTGGGTTAATGCAAACGCCCTTTGGTTTACTTGCTCAGTTGTACATTTACATGTCTTTGATATGCTTTAAACTTGTTTCTCTTAAGGATGAAGATCTTTTCAAAGTTGTAAATATGCACTAGTGACTGTTGCTGCCCAAGTGGTGTTATCCTTATGTTACTTAAAAGCATGGAAATGTAATTTTGACTTTTAATTCAGATAATGGTGTGGTATTCATTAATAGCTCAGTGTTTTAAGTTATCCAGGCGTCGGTGCTAAGTAAAATATGGAAAATGTATTATGTGTACCTTTAACATCTTAAATTTGATAAGAGAGACTTTTAAGTTTGCCAGCATGTATTCTCATAGGTTGTCCATACATGATAATTCAAGACTGTAAAAGTAACTACAGGTATAAAGTTTCAGAAGGTGTGAGCAAGTCATGAAAAGTTGTAAAAAGTTTACGATTTTAAAACATTGTTTACAGAGTTTTCTATAAGTTAAATGTTAATGCCAAAATTACACTAACCTAAAGTTGAAGTCTGATCTTCTGTTATAACAATGGGATTTTTAAAAATGTGTACTAATGTTAGTAATTATCTGGAAATGGTCTCAATTGTAAATCTTAAAATCTGTTGTTGCAAAAACTGTAACGTCTCTTTTTAACACTACTGTCTGTTAAGTTATGATTGATAAAAAGTATTGTCTTAAAAAGTTATGTTAAATATTATTATGATCAGATCTGGTCTAAAAGTGTTAAAATCACCCTGACTAAATGTTAAGGAATTCTATTTTGACCAGATACTCTAAGTTCTCTTGGCACCTTTAACAGACTTTCTGAAAATCAAAGTTCTAAATTCTCTGGACTTTTGGTATCTCCAGAGGGCCCCTGGAGATGTCAAAAGATATATCTCTCATCTTGCAGAGATAATAACCAATCGGGTTGTTTAGATTAAAAGTGGTGCCAAGATGTGAAATGATGCTAAACTTCAGCTATAAACGTGTTTCTTTCTAGCTGCTCCAGTCTCTGGCTCAGAAGCCAGATCCTTTAAAGAGGGACTGACAAAGTCTAAGAAGCATCCCATGGTCATGATTTGCATCACCTCAATGTCCAAACCTTAAGCTTTGGCAGATGGATGTTACCCATTTTTCTGAATTTGGTAAACTAAAATACATACATGTCTCTTTAGATACATGTTCAGGTTTTGTTTTTGCCACCCCGCAATCCGGCGAGGCTGCCAAACATCTCATTGCCTTCAGGCCTTTGCTGTTCTAGGAACCCCTATACAGATAAAAACTGATAATGGCCCAGCGTATACTTCCAACTCTTTTAAGCACTTCTGTACTAACTTCCACATCTCTCATCACCGGGATTCCTTATAATCCCCAGGGACAAGGTATTGTGGAACGAGCACATGCCACATTAAAAAATTATTTACAAAAAATAAAAAAGGGGGAATACGGGACCATGGCATATTCCCCACAAAAATGGCTATCACATGCTCTTTTCATTTTAAATTTTCTAATACTGGATAATCAAGGAAAAACTGCAGCTGATCGTCACTGGCATCCTGAAACCAAAAGACAACAAGTCTATGTGAAGTGGAAAGACCCTCTAACTGCTCAATGGTATGGACCTGACCCTGTTTTAATATGGGGACGTGGACATGTTTCTATATTCTCGATGGTTACCTGAGTGACTGGTGCGGCAGACAATGTCACAAAGCAGCCCCTCGATCTTCATTATGATAACATTGCTGATTGGGATCGTTACTGCAGCCATTATAACTGCCATTTCCGTTGCAGCTGTGGGCGCTACAACAGCTGCTATAGCGCTCACAGGGACAGTTCAAACTGCTAATACCCTGAATAATTTGACGGCCTCCGTGGCTGCTGCTTTGGATACTCAGACATCCTTAAATGTACATATAAAGGGAGGCTTGATGATTGTTAATCAGCGTGTGGATTTGGTACAGGAGCAGGTGGATACTCTCTGGCAGCTTGCTCAGCTAGGATGTGAGTGGAAATTTTCAGGGTTGTGTGTGACCTCTGTTCAGTACGATAACATGACTCAGGCAGCAAATTACTCTAAACAGTTGTCTCAGATGCTCTTGCAGAATTGGTCCGCAGAATTTGACTACACCTTGAAGCAACTGTGCCTTGCCGTGGTCACCATGAACTCCACATGTGTGGATGTCTCCTTCACATCTGGATTGTCATCCTGGATCCGCACAGCCGTCTCCAACCTGAAGGAGTGGGTGGGACTTGGAGCTTTGACGGGTTGTTGTTACTTGTTGTGTTATTTTGCCTGTGGTGTTTGTGCAGGATGAGGACAGCTCATCGGCGGGAATTGGCCATGATAGCTCAAGCCTTTTATGCCCTTGAGGCTGGACAATCACCACAAGCATGGCTGGCCTTCCTTGAATGCTAGGCATGGGTGCAGGGTGCGAGGCAAAGCACTGCAGAGAGAACGAGCCATTACGTTCTCTGGAAGGCAAGTCTGTCTGCATGTGGGTTGGCATCCCAGATCCCACCCCCGCGAAAAGGATGCTGTTCCAGGTGGATGCCTGGCAGTGGGGGACAGACCCCTACCTTCTCCTGTAATCCTTAGATGCCTGGTTCTAAAACAAAAAGGGGGAACTGTGGGGAGCCATTGCACGGCGCCCTAAAGATGGCGCCGGCTCCTTTCTCCCGGAAGGACTGGCGAGAAACAAACAACTCCTAATAAGGAGATGGCTGAGCTCCCTCCCTTCCGGCTTCCGCATTGCTGTACCTATCAATCCTTGCCACTTGGCTGCTTTTGATTGGTGTGCTGATGGCTATAAGAGGGATGGGAGAGGGAAGGAGGCGGAAGAAGAAGCTTGTTCAAGGTTCCTGAATAAACTGCTGGAAGAAGAGTTCGGGTCGTGTCTTCCTTGCTGGTCGAGGGACGCAACACTGCCCTCCTAGGTGCCTTAGTAGGAAGCTGGATCGGAAGCGAGGAGCCAGGACTCAGACTGGCACTTCAAGATGGGGTACCAGTGTCACGTGTCACAATGCCACCACAGTGCCAGCCCCCCAACTGGGCCAAATGCCTGCTCCCTATCTTATTTTTAATGGTCACCTTGTTAGGGTCCGAAAAAGCCCACCGCCCGAGGAACAACTCCTAGAGACTCTCTCATGCAACCAGCAAAGGGTTAAAGATTTATTGATCCAACATGTTGGGGCTCTCTGAACATACAAGGACAGAGGAGCCCCGAGGAACTACAGCATAGGGTTTATAAAGGCAAAAACCGCAAAATCAGGAGGGGGGAGAGAATACACGGTTGCTAAGTGGTTGCTAAAATCTTACAATTAGCAATTATGATCTTAAGACATAGACAAATCACATCTTCATTAGCAGCCCAGGTAACCCAGGTGCAACCTTTCTACTTTCAAGCTTGAGCAGTCATGCTAGGGGGTTTTTGTGCTCTGCCAAGGGTGATGTAGTGCACTGCTATTGTCCGACTATTTGAGATCATAGTTTCAGACCAGAGTCTCATGGTGGGGGGGTTGCTTTCCCAGAATGCAGTCTCAAGTGCCCCAAAATGGAGTCCCTACTGTCAAGGTGCTACTTCACTCTGTCTTATTTTCACAGCTGCACCAGGAAGGTTTAAACCTGTAAGCTTAAGCTTAACTTTTTATACCCGCACAAATACAATTTTAACTCTTCAACCTAATGGTTTGAGAAGTACTCATAATATTATGGATTATTTATTGTTTTCAGGGACAAAAGAAACCATTTACATTGCAAAGAGAGCGAACCAACTAGAGAAGTGTTAGGACACATGGCCTTCTGTTGCTGTAACTGAATCTATAGGATTTATAAAGAGATTCAGGGGCAAGTCTTGTGGCAAAGTGGGTTAAGCTGCTTCTTGGGACACCAGCATCCTGTATGAGGTGGACTTTGGGCGTTAAGCCACTGGTTGGGACATTCACATCCTCTATCAGAACGCCTGGGTTTGAGTCCCTGAGAAGCAGTGGTGATGGCTCAAACAGTTGGATGGAAGACCTGGATCAGGTGTACAGCTCCTGGCTTTAGCCTGGCCCAGCCCCCGCCATTGCAGACACTTGGGGAATTAACCAGTGGATGGGGAGCACTCGCTCTCTCTTTCTCTCGCCCTCAAATAAAAGAGATAAAAATTTTAAAAATCAACATGGGGGTTAGACATTTGGCCTAGCAGTTAGGATGCCAGCTAAAACACCCGAATCTCCTGTTAGAACGCCCAGGTTCAATCCCTGGCTGCAGCTCCCAGTTCCGGCTTCCTGCTAATGCACACCCTGGGAGGCAGCAGGTGATGGCTCGAATAAGTGCCACCCACTGGGGGTCCTGGATGGAGTTCCTGGCTCCTGGCTTCTGCCTGGGCCAGGCCCAGTAAAGTCACTGCAGGCACCTGAACAGTGAACTCGTGACCGGGACCTTTCTGTCTCTCAGGGAGAATAAAAGGAGAGAGAATTTTTTAAAAACCAAAATAGTAGAATCTCCTCTCTTTCTTCGTCTTACTTAACCTAAGGACCAGTGCTAGTTCAAGATCTGTTTGCACAGAATTGGGCTGCAAGCAAGCCAGGTGGGTGACCCTCGAGGGCCACCTGATTTGAGCATTTTTTTGGTAAGGAAGCTGAGACTCTGAGAAGGGCAGGGCTCTAGGAAACAAAGCCAAGATCAAGGCCAAGCATAGGAGGCTGGGAGGTGGTCACTGCCCATGTCTTAAGGCCGCTCCAATGTGGTCAGTGCAGTGCTACAAACTCGGGATGCACTGACTTCTATGTGTACTGGGCTCTGTGTCCCGTGGCGAGAGCCAGGGGGCAGGAGTGTCCTAGGGACTCCTCTGCCTTCTCAGTCTGGCTGTGCCGTCACAAAGTGCTCCGAGGGACCCAGAGGCTGAACTGGACATCACCCAGGAATCTTTGCAAAGAAGCTTCGCTCACCCAAATATCATCACCCTTGTGCATAGAAGCAGCCTCTTGGGTGGGACTTTGCGATGGTTTCCAGTTCGCATGCACCTGGACAAGCTCGGGACCTGGCGCCAGGCAGGAGAGAGGCTGCAGGCTCCCTGCAGAGCTGGGGACCCCCACCAAAATGCCTGAGAACAGAGAGGGCGCTGGCCGCACTGCAACCTAGGAGCTCCCCGCTTGGGGGATGTAGATGCTGCGGGGGTCCCCACTGGGACCCCAGCACCCAGCCTGAGGCGGGCACATGGTACATGTTGATGGAACAGAATCCACAGTGCAGAAGTGGCTCTTGGGGGTGGGCCGCCTTTTAGTCTTCGAGAATCTTCCACCGCAGAAATCCCCAGAGCGTGGCCCAGGAAGCCCAGCACTGCTCACCTACTCCCCTAGAAGATGCCCACCATCCTCTGGGTAACTGGCAGCAGAGGGGTGGCTCACCAGGTGAAGGAAATGAAGGGGCAAGTCAATCCTGGCCCCAGGACCCCCTCAGGCTCAGCCCAAGCCCCTGACTCCCTGACCCCCTGACCCACCTCCAGCGCCACCCCTGGACAGTCAGCACCTTCTGGCCTCACGGTTGGGGTCTCTTCTCCACCCAGCAGGGGAAGCGGATGGGGTGGTCAGGCGAGGGCGCTCTGCAGAAATTGCAGGCGTGCTTGTGGGGAGGCAATTCCTGAAGCAATTTCCCCGGCAGCCTGAAACAGGAGGAGCCAAGTTCAGTTAAGTTTCGGTTTCCATCTTCAAAGAAAATAAACAAAAAGCTCAGTTTCAGTTTCCAGCAGGCACTAGCCAGACAGCTGACTTGTGAGCTGCTGGCAGCCCAGGGAGGGTGCAAGCGGAGGAAGGGAAAGTCCCTCGCTGTCCCAGGGCGTCCCCTTCCCCTACTCCTGCAGTCCGTCAGCCCCTGGAGAAGGCTGGAAGGCGCCCCTTCCTGTGCCGCGTGGAGCAGGCAGCATCGGATCCGGGAGGCAGCCTGCTCTGCAGAGATGGAGCTCTCGCGGGAGCTGTACGAGACCCCCGGGGACAGGCTGGAAGCCTTCGTGAGGCGCAGCCTGCAGCCCCAGGGGGGCTGGAAAGAGCAGGTGCAGGACACCTGGCACAGAATCCAGCAGTTCCTGCAAGATCAGTGCTTCGAGGATGAGCTGGTCCAGGACCGGGAGGTCAGGGTGCTGAAGGTGGTGAAGGTGAGGACTCAGGGACCCAGCTCTGCCCCTCTGGCCTGGGGGGCCCTGGGGGGTGGGTCACTGTGTCTCTCCGAGCCTCAGACTCCTCCTCTTTACGTGGGCTTGTTTTGCTAAAGCGTGGGAAAGTGCTGTTAAGCACTGAGTTATTCTATAAGTCAGAAGGATAAGGAGGATGATGGTGGTGGTGGTGGTGATTTGGGATTGCTCTCAGAGTGCCAGGGCGTCAGGCGGAATGTGAATAGCAGATGCCTTTAAAATATATGCCTTCCTTTGTGTTTGCTTAAGAAAATGTGCCTCCCCACCAAAACCTCTATGGTGCTCTCTTAAGATGGTACTGACTGGCCAGGTTAGGAACTGCCTAGCCAGGCTGGCGTTGTGGCACAGCGGGTTAAGCCATCACTTGCGATGCCGGCATCCCATACAGGAGCACCGGTTCAAGTCCCACTAGTCCACCTCTGATCCAGCTCCCTGCTGATACACCTAGGAAGGCAGAGGAAGATGGCCCTAGTGCTTGGGCCCCTCCCACCCACCCACATGAGCAACCCCTGCTGGCTTGCTCTTCCCAAATTGCAAGCCAGCAGGGGGACTGTGCAAAGGAGCCGAGAGGGGAGGTGAGGGAGGGCGAGGCAGGAATCCAGAGAACAAAGGACAGGGCAGCTGCACCTGGCTCGGCCCCCAGTGCCTGGCTGAGGGGCTGGTTGGAGTCACAGGGGTTTCCTCCCCTGCTGAAGTCGCCAGTCCAGCCCTCCAGACGCGCTGACCACGGAGGGAGGGCCAGAATGCTTGGCAACTATCCCAAGCCCAGTTTCTGGAATTCTCAAGTAAACATGTTTATCTGTCTAGTGGAACAGACACTCACGTTAGTCAGAAGCTCAGCAGTTAACTCTTGTTCATCAGTACATGAAAGGAAAAGAAATATGTATTCAGTACAGTCACATGTCCACATCTAAAATGTTTATAAACAAGGGGAGGCGCTTGGCATGGTCATTGAATCACCACTTGGGGGGCTGGCACTGTGGATTAGTGGGTAAAGCCACAGCCTGCAGCAGCAGCATCCCATATGGGCACCGATTCTAGTCTCGGCTGCCCCACTTCTGATCCAGCTCTCTGCTATGGCCTGGGAAAGCAGTAGAAGATGGCCCAAGTCGTTGGGCCTCTGCACCCATGTGGGAGACCAGAAGAAACTCCTGGCTCTTGGCTTCAGATTGGCACAGCTCCAGCTGTTGCAACCGACTGGGGAGTGACCCAGTAGATGGAAGATCTCTCTCTCTTTCTCTCTGCCTCTGCTCTCTGTAACTCTGCCTTTCAAATAAATAAAATTTATTTATAAATAAATATAATGTAAATAATATAAAAATGTAATATAAATAAAATTCATTTAGAAATAAGTATGTAACTAATATAAAAATAAATATATAGATAGAATTTATTTATAAATAGAATATAAATAATGTAAAAATAAATTAATATAATATAAATAAAATTTATTTGAAAGGCAGAGTTACAGAGAGCAGAGGCAGAGAGAAAGAGAGAGTCTTTCATCCACTTGTTCACTCCCCAGATGGCCACAACTGGAGCCAGAAAGCCAGAAGGCAGGAGCCAGGAAGCCAGAAGGCAGGAGGCAGGAGCTTCTTCCGGTATCCCTCGCAGACTCAGGGGCCCAAGGACTTGGGACATCTCCTACTACCTTCCCAGGCCATAAAAGAGAGCTGGATCAGAAGTACAGCAGCCAGGATTAGAACTGGTGCCTATATGGGATGCCAGCACTGCAGACAGCAGCTCTACCTACTACGCCACAGTGCCAGCCCCTCAAATAAATAAATCTTTAAAAAATCCAATCACCACTTGGGATGTCTGCATCCCGCATCACAGTGCCTGAGTTCCAGTGCCAGCTCTGCTTCCAATACAGCTTCCTGCTAATGCACCCAGGAGGCAACAGGCAAGGGCCCAAGAACCTGGGTCCCTGAGGCTCCTGATACCCGCATGGGAGGCCTGGATTGAGTTCCCAGCTTCTGACTTCTGCCTGGTCCACCCCCAGCCATTGCAGGCATTTGGGGAGTGAACCAGTGAATGGAGGATGTGTCTGTCTGTCTGTCTGCCTTTTCAAATGGATTTTTTAAAATAAAAAGTTTGCATAAATAACTAGGACACATTTTCTTTTATATGTAGTGTTACAAGAAAAGCTTAGGGCCAAATTGAACATGACAGAACTTGTCTAAACAAAGGATTCTTGAATCAGGCATCGCAGCTGGAAGAAGTTCAGAGAGCTCCAGCACCCGCGGTGAGCAGTGAGCGGTGAGCTTCTATAGGCCAAAGGCGAGCAAACCAGAGAAGTCACCTGATTGGCTACAACCGGGTGCCTGCCTTGTGTGGGCGTGGCATTTGCCTTATTTGGGCATGGTCTGATCAGTTGGTTGCCTGTGATTGGATGAAATTAAGCAGCTTGTGTCTGGCTAAGACCTGGCTATTTGTCACCAAAGATACAATCCTAAATTAGGTTCCAGTTTAATACGTAGGAACTCAAGGTCCAGGCTAACGGCCTCCTGCTTATTTAATAGTCCTTACAAATACATTTCCTTCAAACGAAAGTGGAAACTTACAAACTCTATCTCTGTCACAAATGACAGCTAAGAGTGCACAGACACCAAAACACAGACACTTGAGGACTCTGTGTAGACAGACTGGGGACGGAAGTCAAAGCTTGAACAGCTCGTAACGAGAAGGATTATGGTGGAATAAATTATTAAGACACGAAACAGCATGGGTGGTTTTCAAAGGCATTGTGCTAGGTAGACGAAAAGCCAGTTTCCAAAAATCACATGACCCGCGATTCTGTGCCTACATGTCCCTCGTAATCCTCACAGAATTCATCCCGAGATCCTCAAGTCCCTCATAGAGAGGGACACAGGATTCGCACAGAACCTGTGCGTACGCTCCTGTGGACCCTAGATCACCTACCGATTGCACAGGGCCACGTAGAGTCGTTACATCACATTGCTTAGGAAGTCATGACCGGGAGAAATGTTCACTTCCAATGTGCATTTGTTTTCAAGTATTTCCGACCCCCAATTCACTGAATCCAGAGACGTAGACCCCATGGGGAAGGAAGGCCAGGCATATTCAGAAAAATAAATAACGGTAATACATCAATAAAAAGACTGCAAATTTTAAAAGCGTACAGCTTTTGAAACCCATGCATAGTTTTCTCAAAATGTGCATTCTCATGGGCTCTTTGAGGCTCTCTCATATGCATGAATTTCAACTTTTTTTGGCACCAAAATAAATGGATCTTTTAATTCCACTTTCCAAGAACTTTTTGAAGTATTCGTGTACATACACAAAAATGTATTTGTTGAGGCCAGAGCTGTCCAACAGAACTTTCTAGAGTGATGGTGAATGTTCCCCATACGTCCTGTCCAACGCCATAGCCACCATCCTCGGCCAGCTGTCGGGCACCTGAAATGAAGTTAGTAGGGGAGAACTGATTTCACTCCTTTGTAATTCATGTAAACTCCAATGCCCACACGTGGCCTTGGCTACCGAGCTGAACAGTGCAAGCCTCGGCGTGGGAGATTTATGGAGTGATACGCGTGAAGCTGGGGCTGCAGCGGGCTCTGGGGAGAGAGGAAGCACCGGGGGAAGAATGGAGTTTGACCTTTCCTTTATAGCCTGTGGGTTGTGTGCTAGATATTAAACTTCTCTGACCAATGAAATGCTATAGAACAGGCTGATTATCCCTTATCAGAAATGCCTAGAAGCAGAAGCAATTTGGATTTCAGAGATGGCTGGATTTGGGAATATTTGCATATAAATAATGAGATATCTTGGAGAGAGGACCCACATCTAAGCACAAAATTCACTCCGTCTCATGTACATCTTGCACACCTAGCCCGAAGGCAATCTAATATGGTTATTTTCTGTGCACCTGCATTTAGACGGTGACCTGTCCGTGAGGTCAGGGGTAGAATTTTCCACTCGCTGTGTCATGTTGGCTCTCAGAAAGATTCCAGTTTGGGAGGATTCTGGGTTTTCAGGTTAGGGCAGCAAAGACCACTATGCACGTTGGAAACCAAGGACTCCTCTGGGGACCTGGTTCCGCTCTGACCCTGCAGGCATCACGCCTCAGCTGGAGGTGAGACTCAACCTTGCTGTCCCCACAGGGTGGCTCCTCGGGGAAAGGGACAGCGCTGAACCACAGCTCCGACCTGGACATTGTCCTGTTCCTCAGCTGCTTCTCCAGCTTCCAGGATCAGGCGTTCTTTCGAGAAGAGATCATCAACTTCATTGAGGAAAGACTGGAGTACTGCAGCAGAAGCCTGGCCTACAGCATCACCGTGGCGCACCACAAAAACGGGGCCAGGGCCCCCCGCTCTTTGTTCCTCCAGGTCCAGTCCAAGAAGAGCAGTGATGTCATCCGGGTGGACCTGCTCCCAGCCTTTGATGCTCTCGGTAAAGATGGCAGTGGGTCGGGTCCAGAGAAACTGGTCGGGATCCCTTTGTTAACCAGGCCTCAGGGAGGGCTTGGACAAGTAGCGACTGATGAGAGTCGAGTGGAGTTGGCTGTTTTGGAGGGGAGACAGCATGGAGCTATACCTCAGTGATTAAGATTGGGATGTCCCCATGTAGCACGGAGGAAGGGGGCTTTAGCCAAAGTCCTCTTTGGGTTGGTTCCTGCCCAACCCAAGAGATTCCTCCCTGTGCCTCTGGGTCAAGCAGGTCTTCAAGGAGTGCTCGGGTCAGCAGCATCAGGCCAGCACTGGTTGGTATTCAAAAATGGTACGGCAGTGGCTGCTCCACTTCCCATCCAGCTCCCTGCTAATGGCCTGGGAAAAGCAGCGGGGGATGGTCCAAGGGCTTGGGTCCCTGCCACCCACATGGGAGACCTGGATGCAGTTCCGGGCTACTGGCTTCGGTCTGGCCCAGCCCTGGCTGTTGCGGTCATTTGGGGAGTAAACCAGCAGGTGGGAAGGTAGAAAACCTCTCTCTCTCTCTCTCTCTCTCTCTCTCTCTCTCTCTGACTCTGCCTTTCAAATAAATGAAGGAAGGAAGAAAGAAGGAAGGGAGGGAGGGAAGGAGAGAGGGAGGGAGGGAAATGGAACCACAATGCTGCCGGCTTCAATAAGCTGGGGTCGGTGAAAGAAGCTGCAGTTCACATAAGACAGCTTCCTGAGTGCCGTCATAATAACGGGATGTTCTGCTTTGAGCCGCCTGAGCCTGACCGCAAGGCATCAGATCTTGCCTGAAGAGCAGTGGACAAAGTATGAGGAGGAGAAATTCAACCTTTTGCCTTATCTGAAGGAGGTGATTCAGCGAAGAAATGAGAGAAGAATGAGCAAAGAAGCAATCAGATAGGTGAAGTATGTGGGTGCTGCTGCCCTCAAAGTGGCTTGTGAAGTCGGTTCAACCTGAAATACAATGTAAGAATTGTTTGGTCTGTAGATGTATTACTTTAAATAAATGTCTAATAGTAATAATTTCAAAAAACATCAAGGTCTTTAGGGTTAGGCATAACTGGGTTGGGATCATCTTTAAAACAGGATTTTTTTTTTAAGATTTATTCATTTATGTATTTGAAAGGCAGAGTTATGGAGAGGGGGAGGGGGAGGGGAGGGGGAGGGGGAGAGGGAGAGGGAATCCTCCACCTGCTGGTTCACTCCCCAAAGGGCCACAATGGCTGGAGCTGGGCCAACCCAAAGCCAGGAACCAGGAGCTTCTCCTGGTCTCCCATGCGGGTACAGGGCCCAAGAACCTGGGCCATCCTCCACTGCACTTCTTGGCCACAGCAGAGAGCTGGACTGAAAGAGGAGCAACCGGGACAGAATCCGGTGCCCTGACCAGGACTAGAACCTGGTGTGCCAGCCCCGCAGGCGGAGGATTAGCCTAGTGAGCCGCAGCACCGGCTCCAAAACAGAGTTTTTAACATCTTCACATTTTGGCTGCGAGACTTAACAGTTCCATGACCTTGATAGCCCCATGACCAAGCATACCGACTTGTCCACTGAAATAATGATATCAAGGTTAAGTGGAACCATAGGAGACTGATAACATTGCTTTTTAACCCACAAAAAAATGGCAATTCTTTGTGGTTCCACTGAAGTCCCCCTGCCTCCTGCAGCTACCCTGAGGATGAGCTTAGCCCAGCTGCCGGCCCACGGTCAGTTTTGGTCAGTGTGAGTTATTTAGACTTCGTGTGGCTCATGGATACGCTCGCGAACCCCCTCAGCCCCCACTTTCTCAGCGGCAAAGTGAGGACAACGACACGGTAGCGAGGACTGCGAGGACAACCCTCACAGGCACCCTCTCTGCTCAGAGCCCTCTCCTCTCCTTTCTCACCGCAGACGGCCCCTTTCTGACCAAGCGCCTTTCTTCCCCCCAGGACCCCTGAACCCAGACTCCAAACCAGCCCCGGAAATCTACGCGGATTTAATCCGCAGCATCAGCTACCCCGGGGAATTCTCCCCCAGCTTCACCGTGTTACAGAGGCACTTTGTGAAAAGCCGACCTATGAAACTGAAGAAGCTCCTGCAGTTGGTGAAATTCTGGTACCTGAAGGTGAGGCAGGGGTGCTGGGCCGGGAGGGGAACGTTGGTGTGGTTCACGATGTATTCGTTTTAATTGGCTTTGAAAGGCAGAGAGAGAAACACAGAGACAGAGAGATGGCAAAGTGATCTTCCATCTACTGATTCATGCCCCAAATGCCTGCACCAGCCAGGGCTGGGCTAAGCACCAGCCTGGAGCTCAGAACTCCATCTGGGTCTTCCACGTGGGTAGCAGGGACACAAGGACTTGAGCTGTCACCTGCTGCCTTCCAGAGCGAGCCTGAGTGGAAAGCTGCATCCAAAGTGGGTTTCGCCAGGACTGGGACCAGGCACCCTGAAACGGGATGCGAGTGTTCCAAGCGGTGACTCGCCTGCTGCACCTCTCACCTGACTGCTCCGTGTTTTTAAAAAAGAAAGAAATGGGCCGGGGCCGCAGCTCAGTAGGCTAATCCTCCGCCTTGCGGCGCCGGCACACCGGGTTCTAGTCCTGGTCAGGGCACCGAATTCTGTCCCGGTTGCCCCTCTTCCAGGCCAGCTCTCTGCTGTGGCCAGGGAGTGCAGTGGAGGATGGCCCAAGTGCTTGGGCCCTGCACCCCATGGGAGACCAGGAGAAGCACCTGGCTCCTGCCATCGGATCAGCGCAGTGTGCTGGCCACAGCGCGCCAGCCGCAGCGGCCATTGGAGGGTGAACCAAAGGCAAAGGAAGACCTTTCTCTCTGTCTCTCTCTCCCACTGTCCACTCTGCCTGTCCAAAAAAAAGGGTCCTGATGAGCACAGATGTGATTTTCAGCAGGCTCCGGGCCTCAGGCACTTCCGATAGTAATGAAATCCACAAGCAGCAACCACAACAAAGTGGCCGTGTCCGTATAGCTCACGGTGCTGCAGGCCCGCACACGGCATTTTGCGTGCTTTTCCCCAGCAGCTCTGTAACAAACGCGTGTGTGTCACTCACAGTCTGCTCTTTGCACAAGAGAAAACCAGGCTGGAAAGCCAAAGTGGGTATAAAGCAAATTTATCACAATCCTTATGCCGCTGGAGTCCTAACTGAAACCGCTACCTGTTTCTGACTCCATTTTGGCTGAACGGAAGGATTGCAGGGTAGGGCCCTGTCCCCTTCATCTTTCAGCTTGTTTCGTGGTTTGTTGCATGTTGTTTTTTTTTTGGTTTTTTTTTTTGTTTTTTTGGTTTTTTTTTTGACAGGCAGAGTGGACAGTGAGAGAGACAGAGAGAAAGATCTTCCTTTGCCGTTGGTTTACCCTCCAATGGCCGCCACGGCCGGCGCACTGCACTGATCCGATGGCAGGAGCCAGGTACTTATCCTGGTCTCCCATGGGGTGCAGGGCCCAAGTACTTGGGCCATCCTCCACTGCACTCCCTGGCCACAGCAGAGAGCTGGCCTGGAAGAGGGACAACCGGGACAGAATCCGGCGCCCCGACTGGGACTAGAACCCGGTGTGCCGGCGCCGCAGGTGGAGGATTAGCCTAGTGAGCCGCGGCGCCGGCTGTTGCATGGTTTTGATTGATGTTTTCCGTGTGTCTTAGTTTTCTTCCTTTCTTTCCACATTCAGTATGTGTCACACACACACACACCCCACTGAATAACACAGATTGACGAGGCCGACAAGGCCCAGAAGAGACCCCAGATTTCTCTTTTATTGCAATCTTGATGGCTCTAAGACATAAGCCCACCAGCACCCCAAGTCACCCATGGCTGTGTGTCCTATAACACAAAAGTGTGGCCCGGACATGTGCAGAGCACCAATCATCCCATATCTTCATATTCGTTCATTCTGTATGTTTGTCTCACTCTCTTGTCTCTCCTCGCCGCCCCCCCATCTGTCTATCTCTGTCTCCTCCAGTGCCTGAAACCTAAATACCGAAGAGTAGCATTACCCTCCAAATACGCCCTGGAACTGCTGACCATCTACGCCTGGGAGATGGGTACAGACGAGAGCGAGAGCTTCAGCCTGGACGAAGGGCTTGTGGCCGTGATGGGGCTCCTCCAGGATTACGAAGACATCTGCATCTACTGGACCAAGTACTACGATTTCCAGAATGAGGCTGTCAAAAACCAGATCAAGCAACAGTTGAAGGGGAGCAGGTGAGTGTGTCGGCTCAAGGAATAGAAAACCCAACTCGAGTGGCTTAAAGAATAAAAGAGGTACCACAAACAACTGAGAAAATGTTGGAGGAGGTAGACACGTTTACCCTATTTTTTTTTTACTTATTTTCTTTTATTATTTGAATGGCAGAGAGAGAGGGGTCTTCTCTCTGCTGGTTTGCTCCCCTAATGCCTGCAGCAGCCAGGGCTGGGCCAGGCTGACGCAAGGAGCCTGGGATTCCATCCGGGACTCCCGTGTGGGTGGCAAGGACGCGTGTACTTGAGCCATCAGCTGCTGCCTCCCGGGATGCACATTAGTAGGGAGCTGGATTGGAAGCAGAGCTGTCAAAACTCAAAGCAGGCACTCTGATTTAGGACGCAGGTGTCCCAAGAAGCAACTTAGACTTCTGTGCCAAACGCCCACCCCTATCCTAATGCAAAGATTATGTGACATATCCGTGTATTGAAACATTGCATGGCACCCCATAAATATGCACAATTCTTTTCTATCAACTTAAACGCTTTCTAGAAAACAATAAGAATTCAACTAAAAAAATTTCAGTTTTTTTAAGTAAACAGAAACTGTTGGCTTTTGCAACTGCAAAGTCCATAGATAAAGAAACTTCAGGTATGGTGTGATCCAGGTGTTCACTATGCGGACCTGAGTCCCAGCATCGTGCGTGGGACTGAGATCCACTCCCCTTCTTTCTCCCAGGCCCGTTATCCTGGATCCAGCTGACCCCACCAACAATCTGGGAAGGAAAAGAAATTGGGACGTAGTAGCCAAAGAAGCTGCTCACTGCCTGCGACAGGTTTGCTGCACGACTGTGGACCCCAGCCAGCGCTGGCATGTGCAGGTACAGTCCCCCAGCCCCAGGAGGACTCCATGCTAACCTCGCTTTAACTGCACAAATCCCCCCAACGCCTGCCACCAGAACCCAAGGGTCCCCAGGATAGGCAGCATCTCCCACATAGACTCTCAGCCAACCAGGTGTACAGTTCTCCCCCTTCTGCTGTGAAAGTCTGGACCTCAGTTTCTTCATCTGGAAAGTGGGCAGGCAATGGGTGCCCTGTTCTATAGCTATTTGAGGGACATACTAAAAGAATGTACACACACACACACACACATACACACACACATGCTAGGGGTAATCTTTTTCTTTCTGTAAGCTGCTACTCAACCTCTTGCTATTAAAACAAGAGATGTAATCGATGTATCTAAAGTATTTATTTTTTAAAGATTTATTTATTTACCATGAGCATTTTAGAGCCTGCTTATAGCATCAAGTCCAAATGCAGATACTTTTGAGCATGAAGTGGGGTGATATCAGTTGGGCCAGGACAAGCGACCTCCGCCGGGCCTGCTTCAGACATCCTGGAACATTGAAGCATCCCGGATGGAGTCGCTCTTTCGAACAGCTCTGTCATACGCCCGTGAATGGAAGCGCATTCATTCATCTGTAGGACCTGTCCCCTCCTGGTAGATTTGTGGCAAGCTTCCATTTGCCCTTAAATGAACATCCTTAACACATCCCAGAGGCTGTCACACTTCACTACATCATTTAGCCTCACAGCGACTTCAGGGAGTCCGGGTGACAGGCGAGGACTGAGCAGCTCCACGAAGGACAGGTGTTCTTTGGGGAACGTTGCCGGTTGCTGCTCTGGTCGGGGTGAGTTGGACGACAGAGTTGGACTCTGTGGCCCTGCAAGGTGAGGAGCATCAGATAGTCTCCTTTGCCTGGGACAGTCCTGGCTCTAGCCTATTGTCGCCCAAAATTGTTAAGAGCACCTGCTTTTGCCTTGATTATTTTTATTGATTTATTGTATTCATTTGAAAGGCAGAGAGAGAGAGAGAGAGAGAGGAGTGAAAGAGAAAGATATCCCCTGGGGAGATCTTCCAGTTCACTCCCCAAGTACCCACATAACAGCCAGGCTGGGCCAAACCAAAGCCAGGAGCCAAGAACTCCATCAGAGTCTTCGGCTTGGGGGGCAGGAAGCTGACTAATTGAGCCCTCACCTGCTACCTTCCAGGGTGCACATCAGCAGGAAGCCAGAGCTGGTGTTAAAACCCAGGCACCGGGGCCAGTGCTGTGGTGTAGCGAGTAAAGCCACTGCCTGCAGGGCCAGCATCCCATACGGGTGCCGGTTCGAGTCCCAGATGCTCCACTTCTGATCCAGCTCTCTGCTATGGCCTGGGAAAGCAGTGGAAGATGGCCCAGGCCCCCAAGCCCCTGCACCTGCAAGTGAGAGACTGAAGGAAGCTCTTGGCTCCTGGCATTGGTTCCAGCCATTGCAGCCAATTGGGAAGTAAAGCAGCAGATAGAAGACCTCACTCTCTCTCTACCTCTCCTTCTCTCTGTGTATAACTATGACTTTCAAAATAAATAATAAATAAATCTTAAAAAAAAACCCAGGCACTATAATATGGCACGCAAACCCCCCAAGTGGCATCTTAACCCCTGCACCAAACACCCACCCTCCATTTGCATTTATGTGAAAGGCAGAGTTACAGAGAGAGAACGAAACAGAGATCTTCCACCCACTGGTTCACTCCCAGGCTGAAACCGGGAGCCAGAAATACCATCTGAGTTCCCCACGTGGGTGGCAGGGGCCCAAGCACTCGGGCCATCTCCTGCCAGCTTCCTAGGCGCATTAGCAGGGAGCAGGATTGGACATGGGGCAACCGGAGCTCATATTTGCAGAGGGCTTCCTAACCCACTGTGCCACGGCACCGGCCCCTCCATTTACTATTAAAAGTGTCTCAGTAGACAGAGGAGAGAGGCTTTGGAAACCAGAAAATAGCCTTGAGCGCCCAGATCCCTGAATCTGTTTCCCTCTTGCTTCCAGAGAGCAAGGGGCGTGCAGGTGACTGTGAAGCAGACAGGACTGGAGACCTGGACCCTCTCGGTGGACCCGTACAGCCCCATCTGGAAGATGAAGGCAGAGATCAAGAAGAAGAACTTGATTTTGGGGCAGCAGCGCCTCTCCTTTCAGGAGGCGGGAGGGGAGCGGCAGCTGCTCAGCTCCCAGCGGACTCTGGCAGACTACGGGATCTTCTCCAAGGTGAACGTGCGCGTGCTGGAGACCTTCCCTCCTGAGATCCAGGTGTTTGTCAAGGACTCCAGTGGCCACAGCACGCCCTACGCCATCCACCCCGAAGACACCATCCGTCACTTGAAAGAGAAGATCGAGGATGCAGGAGGGCCATTGGTGGAGGACCAGATGCTGAAGTTCCAGGGCTGGAAGCTGGGAAACCATCGCAGCCTGGAGAGCCTGGACATTGAGGACTGTGACACTGTCCTGCTCATTCGGAGAAACACAGACTCCCCAAGACTGCCCCCGGCCCCGCAGTGGAGTCCCACCGCTTTCTACTTGGATCCTTTCACTAAGTACTATTATCCTTCAACGAGACGTTAATTAGTGCAGCCAGTCTGGCCAACCGCATGGAGGTTTCCTCTTAGAAACAGAACCCCCATTATGATCCGGTCATCCCACTACTAGGTATGTAAAATCCAGAAGACGTGAACTCATTGCTATTAAAGAGACACCTGCTGCACACGCATAGAGCAGCTCTGTACACGACAGCCAAGACAGGGAAACAAGCAAGGTGTTCCTCGTCAGGCGAAAGGAAGATGGAAACACGATCAGGCGTCCCTTATGGGCGCTGGTTCGAGACCCAGGTGCTCCACTTCCGATCCAGCTCTCTGCTGTAGCCTGGGAAAGCAGTAACAGATGGCCCAAGTGCTTGGGCCCCTACACCTGCATGGGAGACCCAGAAAAAGCTCCTGGCTCCTGGCTTCAGATCGGCGCAGATCTAGCCATTGCTGGCAATTGGGGAGTGAACCAGCAGATGGAAGACCTCTCTCTCTCTCTCTCTCTCTCTCTCTCTGCCTCCTTCTCTCTCTGTGTAACTCTGACTTTCAAATAAATAAATAAATCTTTTTTTAAAAAAAAAGGCCTGGAGAGGTGGGAAAGATAGAATGAGTTTAGATTTTTTTAAAAAAAAAGTTAGGATATTAATTACAACACTGTGTTCATTAATTGTACTCATTAAGTGTGACAATATGTAGCACATATACTAAAATTGTAACAAGTATATCAAGGTGACATGAGACATTAGCAGTAGGGGAAGCTGGAACTCTGTGTACTCCTTCACAATTGCTTGCTCTGTGCCTTTAAACTATTCTCAAATTTAAAAAAAAAAAAAAGTCTTTAAAACCCTTCCAATGGCTCCTCGTTGCCTGCAAAATAAAGTTCAAGTCCCTTTGCTTGGCCTTCAAAGTCTTTGACCATCTAGACCCTGTTCACCCCCACCCCCATTTCCTCTCACCACTCTCCGACCCAGGTGCTCCCTAACACTTGCAACCCCAGAACACTTAATGTTGGGGTCTTGGCTCCACCTCTTCGAGCCAGGGCCCCCGCCAAGCTCTCGCTTCAGTCAAGACTGGGAGCCGTCAGCATATGGAGCCCGGAGCCACGCACGGCAAGAGAGAGACTCCAAATCCCACACAGACACCCAGGCGCGGACGCTGCAGGATGCTGCCAGCCCCGCCCTGAGCCCATCAAACTCAACCTGGGTCTTTGCAGTAGGCTAAAAGGAGCTTGCAGCCACTCGCCGAGCGAATCAGAGCGGTGTCTTTTAAGCCCTAAGACCCTTGACCAAGACTAGTTCAGCAGCTCCATAAAATCCCTATTTCTATTCCTCAGGTAATGTATAATTCGGAGCACGTTGATGGCATTTCCGCCACCAAGACTCTCCATAGACGTGATGTCATTTGATCTTTATCCTCACAGCTGTGCTGGAAGCTAAACAGACAACTAAAACACACACACACACACACACACACCCATTTTACAGATGAGAACACTGAGGCTTAGAGATAAGGGATCAGTGTTCAGAGGGAACCTCCTGTGGGTGAGGAATGATGCCAACCTCAGCAGGAAGACACTCCATGTCTCTCTGCCACCCTCTCTGGATCTCACCCACAAGCGCCTGCTCTGAGATCTAGCCTGGGCATCCTGCCAGCCTCCTCCAGTCCTGTGGGTAAACTTGTTCACACCAGAGGACTTCATCCTGGGCCACAGCTGATTGGACCAGGAATGATCACCTGACCCAGGATAGACCCAATCTATTGGCCGGGCTAAGCCAATCAGACAATGGGTTCTAGAGATGGGGAACAACAACTTCTTGAGTATTTTACATATGCCAGGAAGAGCTCACAGTACCTGGCATTCATTGGATTCTCACAACAACTGCTGATCTAATTTTATAGTTGGGGAAACAGACTAAGGAGGGCTGGGAGTTCTGTTCGAGGTTACAGAGGCTGTAAGCTGCAGAGCTGCATGCAAGCCAGAGATGGTGGTCTTTGCACCATGTGATGCTGCCTCTCTCAGTAGACTTCAGGTCTCCCGCCCCACCCCAATTCCCACGTGTGTACAAACAACCCGCGATCCTCACAGTGTCTGTCTCCTCTGAGAATTTCTGCCCTGGGTCAGCCACTTCCCAGCCTTAGGTCCTTGGACAGTTAGTCTCCTTGTCCACAACGTCCTCACGCATAGAATGGGGAGCCCATGGTTTGGACCACATATCTCACCAGGTCATTGTAAGGATCACGTGACGAATGCAAAAGCCCTTCACAAACTTAAGTCAGCATGAGCTCACCAGATCCAAAACTCCGTGGATATCTGGGAGATAAGACAGGAAGTTGTGGGGAGCAACTCGGACTAGACTAAGTTACTGGAATTAAGACTTATTCTATGCATCTGCTATCCCACAATATGGCGCTGGGAGAGAAGAAAACAGCTTCTACACAGCTGCCTCCAGTTCGACCAATAACCTGCAGGAGCTGATCCTGCTCCTGATTGCAGGAGAGCAGCATACTCAGCGTGTGGGTAGCAGAGTTGGGATTGGTGGAAGAGGACTATAAAGGAGGAGAGAGACAACATGCACCAGGAACATCTAAGGGGAACATCCGAATAACATCTGAGCAGCCCCCGAGAGAGCCGGCCGGCGGTGTGCCGCTCCCCCACGGAAGTGGGGAAAGTGGCAGGGGGAACCGCCCTTCCACGGAGGTGGAAGGACGGTAGCCAACCCAGGAAGAACCAGCAGCAAACCCGGGAAGGGCCGAGCAGACAAAAGAACAGCGCAGGGTCCTGTGTCGTTCCTCCACAAAGAGGGGGAGCGACAGAAGTGATCTCACACCTGCTGTGTTGAGATGGAGGGCCTGGTTTCCTTCCACATTTCCACTTGAAAGGATACATTTTAATTTATAAGGATACATGGGCTATTAAGAACAAAATTTTGATTAGGGCTATGAAGGCAGCAAGTTGGGGTCTGGTGGGCCTGGAGGGGCTGGAGCCTCAGAAGCCAGGTGAGAGAAAAGAGCAGCCTATGGGCAAGAACAGAGAGGAGGGGGCTCAGGGCAGGGGGCAGGTGGAGATTCCCATCAGAAGGCTGTGGCAGCCACCCACGGAGTGGTGGGTGGACCAGGAGTAGCGGTGGGGGTGAGAAACAGGTGGATTTGAGGCCCATAAGGCTTGCTGGTGGACAGAATGTGAGGGAAAGAGGGCCCTCAGCCTGTCCCCCACGAGTTACCTTTAAGGGCTGTTGAGCAGGCGAGAGCGGAAGGCGCCCGCGGGGATACTAGAAGTGTCCTACTGCCTCGATCTGGGTGGTGGGCACAGGATTCCATGCAACCGGAAGAGCCTTCCCAGCTGCCCCTGTGCACGTGTCAGGCCGGGTTCCCAGGGAGGCAGACTGTGAGATGGGGAGGTGTGCACAGGAAGTTCACTGGGGAGTGTCCCCAGGAATGACAGCTGGGAAGGAGGACAGGGAAGCAGACAGCACGGGGAGAAAAGCTGAGCTGCGATGCAGTCACAGTGAAGACCTCAGCAGAGCCCCCGGGGTGCGGGGTGCGGGGGGTGGGGGCAGAGCTGAGAGGACCCTTCAGAGTCGTCATCACCTGAGACAAGGGGACCCGGCCTCTGCGTCCTCCTCGTCACTGACTGCAGGCAACCTGTGGGACAGAGTGTGATCTTGGGCCAAACAAACCCACTTTGTCTGAGGGTCGTGCTCTGGCCGGGGCTCCACCACGAGTTTTCAGCAGCGACGCTCCCGGCAGCTGGGGGAGAGAGGGCCTCGGGCCTGCAGCGGGACGTGGACGTCCCTCGGCACCACCCAGGGCTCTGCAAGTCCTTCCACCTGCTTGTGTGGAAGCTAGGACTCAACAGACGGTCCTGGAGAGAGAATGACTCTCAGATTCCCGTCCACTTCAGCGGAGGCCAACCCTGCACTAGCACTCAATAGGTGCTCACCTATATGTTGAACGAATAGATGAATCTAACAGGATTCATTGGAGTCTCAGATGAGGCCTGAGCCACATTTAAAAAAAAAAAAAAAAACACAGAGAATGAATATTATGGCACCAGCTGCTATTGCCTCCCATAATCCTTTCTGCCTTTCTTCCATAGCAGTGGGATTGTTAGCTGGGCACATCAGCAAAGGGTAAAGACTACATTTCCCAGCATTCCTTGCAGCTGCATGTACCATGTGACAAAACTTTGCCCCCTGGGGTTGGCACTGTGGCACAGCTGGTTAACGCCCTGGCCTGAAGCGCCGGCATCCCATATGGGTGCCAGTTCTAGTCCCGACTGCTCCATTTCCAATCCAGCTCTCTGCTATGGCCTGGAAAAGCAGTAGAAGATGGCCCAAGTCCTTGAGCCCCTGTACCCACGTGGGAGACCCGGAAGAAGCTCCTGGATCCTAGCTTTGGATCAGGGCAGCTTTGGCCCTTGCGGCCATCTGGGGAGTGAACCATTGGATGAAAGACCTCTCTCTTTTTCTCTCTGCCTCTCCTCTTTCTGTGTAACTCTGACTTTCAAATAAATAAATCTTAAAAAAAATAAACTTTGCCCCCTTAGAGAGTTCATTTGTGTTTTATGCATGAATTTGCATGTTTATCCCAAACAACCTCCAGGAGTATCCCACTCTTGCTTTGTACTTAGGAAAGGGGATGCAGAAAATGATGTAATATTAGGCATTGGCAAGAGTTTTGTCATTTGCATAGGCTTGAGATGGAATGCAGTTTCCACCCACGGTGTCCCAGATTTCACAAAGAGGAAGTGCCTAAGAGCCTCAGCCCAGGTGAGCTGTCTTCCCAGCACAGGGAAAGGCCCCCTCATTTACCTGCCTTTAAACAGGACGGTGGGCACCATTCCATGGACCTCAGGGACCTGAGAGAGCAGGACACCAGGAGGAGCCCAGTGGACTGGATCCAGCTCCAAGAAGAAATTCAGAGCAGAAAGCCCGAGGGCTCAAGGAGGAAGGAGTTTCCATTTCCTCCGCAGCCTGGTTTCATTTTCCTAACCAGCCGGCTCCCTAGTGCGTGCCTCCAACTTTTACCCTTTTGTCCTCACAGTCCACTCACCACTGTATCACATGGACCCTGTGGGTTGAAAGCGATGGAGACCCAACTCAGTTTCAGCAAATACAAGTAGAACGTAGTGGTCCTTAAGAGTCCGGGGTAGCTAACATCAGGTACAACTAGACTGTCTTAGGGGTCTCCAGGGATCTAGGACCAACAGGACATAGGAGCAGATGTGGAAGAGGGGAGAGAAGTCCCTGCAGAGGCAGGGGATCCAGTGCCGTGGAGTCCTAGGGTCCGAAGACCCGATCACCTGGAGCTCTGATCCTGAGGGCAGGAGAAGACGGACTGTGCCCACCCATGATGGTGAGGGCAGCTCATCCTTACTCAGCAGACTGATTCCAATGCTAGGCCGGCGCTGAGGCTCACTAGGCTAATCCTCTGCCTAGCGGCGCCGGCACACCGGGTTCTAGTCCCGGTCCGGGCGCTGGATTCTGTCCCGGTTACCCCTCTTCCAGGCCAGCTCTCTGCTGTGGCCAGGGAGTGCAGTGGAGGATGGCCCAGGAGCTTGGGCCCTGCACCCCATGGGAGACCAGGATAAGTACCTGGCTCCTGGCTTCGGATCAGCGCG